TAGGACCATTCTTCTAGATCTAAAAGTATGATCCAATCAGCGCGAAGGAAACTTCCAACAGTTGCAAAACGAACGTTCTGCTGAACGCACCCATTGAAGACAAATCTATGGCAAGTTGTCAACATCATAAGCAATCACAGATTTGTGTGATTTTGTTGAAACGCTTTGCTATCTGGGAAATAACCATTCCGACAAGGACAGACAAATGTTGCAGACACTTTTATTACATTGGTTAGATACGATATGGCCCTTCCAGTATGTATGGACGGAATTCATAGTCCGGTCTTAATCTCAAGCAATGTCTTAAGATGTTAATACGGCTCTCTAGCCGGTATTCATAGTCAGTTCTTATATTCAAGATCGTCTCAAGTTCAGCCTTGAGGTGTTATGAACCAATAAGAGAGCTGCATTAGCGTATTAAGACATTACTTAAGACGGTCTTGAAATAAGAACCGACTATGAATACCGGCTTCTGATTGGTTCATGCACTAGCTTAAGACCATCTCGAATCTTGAGCAACGTCTATGGATTTCGCCCTATGTTTTAAGTTTACGATTTACCTCGGATCTACAATAGGTGTTTTAAGCCTTAAGTCGTAAGAAACTGACCAATTACAGTCGAATTCGAGAAGAATAATCGACTATGATTCGTCCATTTCTTATGGCTTGAGGCTTAAAACTCTATTGTAGATCCGGGATTAGGGCCTCTTCAAGTAAGGTTGTGGACCGAGCATTATGTATAGTGCATGAAAGAATCAATCAATCAAAATTTCCTTCTATTTAATGGAAAAAAAGAACTTTGATTAGTTGATTCTTTTTATGCGTCATGCGTTATATAAGAGTCTATGCAGCGACCTTGAAGATGCTGAATGCAAAAAGTGCAAGCAACAGACCCAACTTTAGAGTCACCGCACATCTTTCCACAATCAGTGGGTGCGTTCAGCAGAACGTTTGTTTTGCAACTGTTGTAAGTTTCCTTCGCGCTAATTGGATCATACTTTTAGATCTAGAAGAATGGTCCTATCTCAGCAGACAATCATAAAACGGTTGCAAAACTGTTGAGTCTGCTGAACGCAGCAAGTAACACGTATGTACAGTCAGGGCCTAAAAGGTTGCAACACTTTTTTAAAAATGGGTTTTGGAATACAGTCTACTCACCGAGCGATTAGTTCTTATTTGTCGATCCCATATATATAATATTCCTATATTGCTAACGCCAATTAAAAGCTGGCGAAAACACCACGGTACAGACGAATATCTACTTCTCACTTAGATAGTGTACACCGCATGCGCACCATACTCGAGTACACTGTGGAAGTGAGAGATCCGATATTCTCTAGATTTGTCCGCATCGCAAGCTCCAACATGATCCAACATGCTTCTACCATAGCTCCTACTCACTCTATCAAGCGCATTGGACTGAGTAAGAGCTATGGTAGGAGCATATTGGAACATGTTAGATCATGCGACGCGGACAAACCTTCTATCTCGCTATCTTTGCATACTCCTCACTCCTAAAAAGAGGCTGCGTTAGCAATAGGTTTGTTCGCGTCGCATGCTCTAATATGTTCCAATATGCTTCTATCACAGCTCTTATTTACTCCAATGCGCTTGATAGAGTGAGTAGGAGCTATAGTAGGAGCATGTTGGAGCACGTTGGAGTTTGCGACGCGAACAAACCTAATATAAGAATATTACATATATGGTCGAATAAGAACCAATCGCTTGTTGAACAAGCTGCATTTCAAATGTTGCAACTTTTTAGGCCCCGACTATACCATAAGAATTATGGTTCCTGCACACTGGACGCGGAAACGCTTGCCGCGCGGCAAAATGTGACGCGATAGCCAATAAGCTTACAGCTCCTAACGTGTTCATTGGTTACCGCGTCGCATTTTGCCGCGCGGTAAGCTTTTCCAGTGTGCAGAAGCCATTAGCCAGAACTGAAAATTTTTAACTAAATTTTTATTTTTTAATTTTTGACTGTGATTAACTAATTCTTACGGCACGTTTTACGATTATTATTACGAAAAATGTATGCAGCAGCCCTTAGAACCTTTACATTCCACATGGTAGCCGATGAAAAATGATTTCCTGAATCTTAAAGTTTTTTTATATAGCACTTACTCAGCAGTAATCTTCTTTGTAATAATTTATGCGGGGTCTACAATAGAAGTCGTAGAAAATTGATCAATCACAGTCAAATATGAGAAGAATAATCAATTGTGATGTGGAGTCTGCAATAGAAGTCGTAGCGGTCGTAGAGTCTTAAGTCGTAGAAAATTAACCAATCACGATCAAATATGAGAAGAATAATCGACTCTGATTGGTCAATTTTCTACGATTTAAGACCCTACGACTGCTACGACTTCTATTGTAGACCGGGCATGATTGGTCCATTTTCTACGACTTAAGACGCTACGTTGTTACTTCTATTGTAGACCCCGCATTAGAGTGCTTTTCACGCATGATACACGTGGTGTGTTAATTTATACTTGTTGCTCACCGAATATTAAACAAAAATAAAATGGTAATCATGCCGCATGCGTATCATTCGTGAAATGGAACACACCACTAAAGGTGCTATTTCATTTGTGAGTTTTTGTCGTACAAATAGAAAGGTCCTCGAATTTCTCTATTCTATAACCAATCAACAAGCTTAAAAAAATTGTCGTATGACAAAAACGCACAAATGAAATAGCAACCTATTGTTGTTCATGACCTGTGAATCAAGCGTAATGTAAAAACATCCAAATATTAATAAAATATCATTTTTATATAAGGTGAGTCACTTAAGACCGGCTAACGCCCGTGATTTCTTTCCACCAATTGACTACATTTACACGGTTCGATTTACGCCGAAGTTATAACATCGATGTTACGAAATTGGCCAATCACATTCCATTCTTCAGAAGAATAACTATGATTGGTTCCATTACATTGATGTTATAACTTCGGCGTAAATCGGGCCGTGTAAACGTAGTCAATGATTCATCTCATTATTCTGTTCATAAAAGTATTAAGGTACGATTATCAAAAAATTAATAGTTTACGAATTGTTTAACATTTTATATCAATATGTGTCACAATAAAGTATAAAATATCTCGTAAATTACTGTTTTTTTTATATCTCTATCTTAATACTTTTATATGCAGAATAATTAGAGGAATCATATTACGTAAAAAAAAAATTATATAATTCCATTAAAAAAAAGGAAGTGACCTATATATCTTTTTAGCACCTCCGCCTAGAAGAAAGACAACATGACCAAAATACGTCCCCCTTGAAACCATTCCACTTTCATCTGAAACATTCTTATCTCCAAAACTGTAGGTGTGTTCGGATGGCCGGTTTTAAGTGACACCCTGTATATCGATATCGTTAGATATGTAATTATATCATATTATGAAACAATGGCTGCGTTCAGCAGAGAAAGCAGTTTTGCAACTGTGTAAAATTCTTCAATATGATTGATTCTTGCTTTTGGTTCCTTTTAGGTCTAAACGTATAAACCAATCATATTGAAGAATTTTATAACAGTTGCAAAGCTGCTTTCTCTGCTGAACACAGCCATTGAAAAACAGTCTATACTGCGTTTTTGAAAAAATTAGCGAAGCTTCAACAGTTGTATTTATTCACTGATCCTGAACAATGTCCATATTCATGTAACATGTTCATGTAACATGTTCATGTAATCATGTAACGAGGGAAACTATTATTCTCTATAAGTTATATTCTCTATAAGTAAATAGAGAAAAAACATAATCGTAATGAATTATATACAGGATGAAAATACACGATTAACGCTCGTTTAATTACGTTTAAGATTTGAACATGTAATGAATCGTGTTCAAGTGGAATTGCACTGACGCAGTAATACTTGAGCGTGCTTACTCAGTCATAAACACTTTGGTACAGCTTATATGCTCGGAGATGTCGCACAGCGGTTGGTACGAATCATTCTGCTCCTTTTTGACCTCCACGGTGTAAGCGTAGTATGAAAAAACGAGACCAAGCACGCACGCGAATATGATTCCGGCGTTGAATTTTTGTAACGCGTAATTTCCAGCCGCCGTCATTGTGTTACGAAATGGTACTGTGGAATATCGCTAATTTGTTATCGCTCCACTGTACACACGCATATTACGTACTCTCGTCGATATCTATATATCAATAATACACTGACGGTACGATTTGTCATATAAAGTAGTTCCAAAGATTACTTCGAGATGCTTCGAAAGCGATGTATCATGCCTACACGAAACAGCTGTACTGACGCGACTCCAGCGAGAATCGATAACGTAGTATTACAGTATGTTGAACTACTTTACTCACCGTCGCGTCGATTCAAGTGTCAAATGTGTGTTTACTAGAGTGGAAAATGATTCTCTTGGAATACCATCTGCATATACTTCGGATTCAATCAGTGCAGGGGATCATCTTTTTTTATCATGCTGTTCTGACGAGTTGAAATCTCTTTTATTTTCTTTTTTTTAAATTTGTACATTACTTAATAAATTTAGTCTACCTACACATGCATTATCATAATATTAAAAGATGGAACTGATAGAGAAAGTTGAGACGATAGATATTTATTTAATAGCAGCTATTTTTAATTTCTCTTGTATCACTGTTTTAAAAATAACATCAGTAATCATTTGTAAGACTTAAAAATTAAAGTGGTGATCAAAAAATAATTCTGCCTTAAAGTATACATATCTTATAACATGGTTCTTAATATTAATAAGAATTATTTATGTGCGAAAGAATTTATATGTGTTGATTTTCATATGTTGACATAGTTTGCATAGTATACACTACATTTTGAAATTTTGAAAAATATACACATTGAATAAAGACAATATTCGATAAATAAATGTTAAGACCATGAACTACTTAACTAGTTACAACATATATTAATTACTCGTAAAAAAGATTAATTATAAAGAGCTATGAATCAGTTTATGATGTGTTATCCACATACAATATCTTTCTCACATATTTTAAATATGTCCAGTTGACAATTCTTGTGACTTATTCTTGTGGAGCCATTGCTCTGGCTTGAGCTTTAACACGCTTCTCGTATTCCAAACGATTTTGGCTGCAAAAAGAAATCCTCAATTATTCTTCAGTTGTTGTTAAGTTCATAATCTGAACATGTCTCATAAATACCAATATATTGTATAAGCTTCGGCTTGAGCTGGATCTTTCACATTTGGCTCGTTCAATAAATCCTGAATACCAAGGAGGATTTGCTTGATTGTGATAGCTGGTCGCCAGTCTTTCTCTTCATCCAAAAGCGACAAACAGACAGTGCCCGATGGGTAAACGTTTGGATGAAATAGAGGAGGTTCAAATTTACATTTTGGTGGGCTCGAAGGATAGTCATCTTTGAAAATCATACGTAACTTGTACAGGCCACCCTCCCAAGGAGTCTGCAAAATCACAAGTTTAATATGAATATTTGTCACCTATACTTGAAAGAAATTGACTTACAGATTTCTTTCCAGGTATCGCACATTCCCAACTCATCAAGTTAAGGGAACCGTCTGGATTTTTAGTTGGTCTAGCTACAAACCCCTACAAATAGTCCTTATATTATTTACAGGAAAAATTCAATATACAAAAAATTTTTAATAATTCTAAATACAACATTGGAATAAGCTTCTCTAGAATTTCATGATTCTGTCTTACAAATGTTACATTAGAGGCCAATTAGCTTGATTATTTCTATAGATAAGATTGAAATTGCTCGAACGTGTAAAAAAATGTTAGTTAAGATAAAACAAACAAAGCTGAACATCGTTTCTCGCGTTTAAGATGTGTGAAACGCTACGCGGGTGATGCAGGGCCATTGTTTACAATCGCGACGAATAATGACGAAGTAACGTAATCAGTGTTCTGCCCTGCCGATTCTACGGCGCACCAAGCGGGAAACCGATAGCGCGTTCCCGCGGGAAATCGTACAACGAGGAATAGATACTCACGAACGGATGGTCCTTCCTCCATGCTTTACGCTCCTCAGCGAGCCTGGCTATCGCTATCCCTGACATCAGGTCTTTGACGATGCGGCGATTTTCGTATCTAGAAAACACGGTTGGACGACGCAAAACAGCGTCCTACGTTTCTCTCGATCACGTCGTCCCGATGTGCCTTTGCCTGCAGTCCTGCCACAGAATTTGAATGTCGCCGATGCCAGCCAACGCCGACAGGCGAATCCGTAAAATACGCTTTTCTTGAGGGTGCACAGTGCAATCGCCGTCGCCGTTAATCACACAGAGGATTACACACCGATCGCGTTCGTAAAAGCGCCACGAATTCGTTCGCGCGCATATGGTTAGGAATCGCGGGAAGGTTTTTTAGGGGATAAACTGACATTAAATGGCGAAAACTCGGTCGATAAAGAAGATTCACTTTTTTGGACAAAATGTGCAGACACGGACCAATAGCGTGGACTAGAAACTTGTCCAATTCGCTGATTCGCTAGTCCAGTATTTAATCGAATGTGGCGCGCAATTTGAAAATTTGGTGCGTACATTTGTCCAGATTAAGTATTAAAAATGATAGATTTGAACCATTTAAAGCAGTTTAAGAAGCAAAAAATAGATTTATGAATTTTATGATTCAAATTCTTTAACGTAATTAGGAAAGGTAAATTAATTTGCTCATATTAAGTATTGAAAAATTTCTACATTAAATAATCACTTTCAATTAACTTTTGAATGAATCATAGTTGAATTAAACATACATTAAATTAAACATACTTATATTAGTCATATTTTATTTTTATAAATAAATTTTTTCTATGAATATTTTCTTGCTAAGATTTGACAAACAAATTTATCAGAATTATCATTCGATATATATTGTGGTGAATTAAATTGTGATTGAACTTTTTAATATTTTTTCTTTTTACATTTTTTATTTTTACATTGTTTTAATTTTTAATTTATTCGCTAAAAATTGTCACTAATATAAAAGATGTTGAATAACTCTATTCCAATCATATGCAATGCAAATTTCTTATTTAATGTAAAGCTTCCACGTACACGATGATGTTTTTAATTAAACATTATGTCTGATCCGAATTAACTACGGAAATATACATTTATTAATTACAGACAACAAAAAATGCCACAAACTCGATAATATTACTACAAATATCTTTACGTTTTGCAATTGCTTTTAGAAATCCGAAACTTGTAATAATGCGAGCATGTTGCTTACCGGCTGACTCCGTGAATTTCACTGTTTGAAAAATGTATTATCGCAATATGCATCACTGCACGAGTATAGATCGCATCTCCACAACTGTTATCGCATAATATGTTCATTACATGTTAAGCCGTTTAAGTTATCCACCTGCTGGCACGTCGAATACAGCATCTATTTTCTCATTAGCAGCACTGCCATTCTTGATACGACACCTATCGCGTTAGCGTATGTGATACGGGTGCGTCGTTAGGTCGACATCGCGTTAAAAAAAAAGTGCTGAGTGATACTAAAATTCCATTTCATATCCTTTATAAATTACGGTTTGTTTGTGCGAACAACTCGTCAACGTTGATACTTATTTATCATATCTTAACATTTCATGTTTTAAGAATGATAGTGCAACGAACTTTTCTGTGAGTATTTATTTATCTTTTGCTTTCTGTAAGTATTTATTTATCTTTTGCTTTCTTCTTACGATTTAATGTTGCACGGACTTTATTGTAGTTTTTAAATTAATTTTGCAAATGGCTTTGCAAATGGCTTCTTCAAAGTCATGTAAAAGAATTTTGTAAAATATCGATCGATCATTGATAGCAAATCGATCATTATGACTTACAAATTCACAAAATTTTAAGAATGCGTTAAAGATTTTATGATACGAGGGGGGACCCAAAAAAAACGGGAATTTCGTCATAACTTCTTTATTTCTCAATATTTTAACACCAAATTTTGATCACCTTCAAAGTATTCGCCATTGACCACAACGCACTTCTCCAAACGATTCTTCCATTGTTCAAAACAGTTTTTAAATTCACTCATCGGGATGTCCTTTAAGCCTTCCAGCGATTTTTGTTTCACCTCCTCCACAGTGGCAAAACGCTTTCCTTTCATATTCCTTTTGAGTCTGGGGAACAAAAACCTCCAAGTAGAGCTTCTGGTTGGCAGTTTGACCCGGGGGAACGAACTCCGCGTGCACAACACCTCTGCAATCGAATCTGCCACTGTGGAGGAGGTGAAACAAAAATCGCTGGAAGGCTTAAAGGACATCCCGATGAGTGAATTTAAAAACTGTTTTGAACAATGGAAGAATCGTTTGGAGAAGTGCGTTGTGGTCAATGGCGAATACTTTGAAGGTGATCAAAATTTGGTGTTAAAATATTGAGAAATAAAGAAGTTATGACGAAATTCCCGTTTTTTTTGGGTCCCCCCTCGTACATTGCAATATAAATATCTGTTAAAAAATAAATATAATTTGTCAAGAAATTAATATGTAATTTTGACTGTATTTGAAAACTGTCACATTTATTTTCATTGACTTAGATTTATAAACAAGTACTATTTTGTATGGATAATTACGTGTTGCAATTAGAAGAAGGCACACTTGATTGTTATACTGATTAAGCCTCCTGTTCATTCATCATTACTATCTCAAATTATGATGTTAGAAACGAGAAAGCACAGAATAAAAATTTTTGCAAATTATATTTGAATAGAAATATTTTTCAATAAAACAACATTTTCAAACGACAGAATAGACTTATAAAATATACCAAAAATTATCTTCTTATTTCAAGGAGAAATTAATAAAATAAAAGGAGAGTTTTTGATATATTTTAGAAGTCGGTTCTATTGATTGTATTCTATTGAAGTTTTATTGAAACATATTTATATTAATATACTTTGCAAGAATTTTATTATGAATTTTTTTCTAATATCACAATCTGAGATCTAGTATAGTAAAGGAGCTTTAAATTTGTAATGTTCTTCATATGAAGGACGGTCCACGTTAGGCGGAGAGATAACTGTTTAACGATATTTACACAATATTTAGTAACGCGACAATGTTGCGGCAATCAAAAACAAGATCAAGGCGAAGACATTCGCATTGTGTAATTTGTTCATGTTCATTAGGGGTGTTTAAGCTATTAAAATTGAATTGTTTGGAAAGCGGTGGCTAATCAATCGCGAAAGTGTTTCAAGCACTGATAAGTTAAGACGATCGCGGTGTGCATCAAAAGCTAGAAAGATAAATACGAGATATTAAATTATGCATGTAAGTCAGTTTAATGCTGGCGAATATAATGGTACATCGGTCTCGTTATCATCTTGCGCAAATAACGAAGCTGCCAAGTAATAAAGATTATAAATCTCTCTCGCTAGCCCATCGTGCACCATCTATTTACTTCCGCCACACGCCTTCGCGAGAGTCCACGAATTGTGTAATATTGTTAAACAAACTGTTATTTTACTATCAAATAGGATAAATAATGTCTCTGCGCGATTACGTACAGATGTTTAAACATGATGAGCGCAAAAAGCTAGTTTTGATTTTATGAAGAAGCACATTTAACGTTCGCGAAATAACTCTGCATTAATTCGGTATCTTCTTACACAATTAAACCGTTTCATTTACAGAATCGCGTTCTTTATACATGTACATTGTTCACACGGCTTCACAAAAGACGACGAGATTTGTTATTATCCACGTGCCAACATTCACCTCGAATGCGACTTTGCGGAAAGTCGACAACGTCTCGTTTGTTTTAACGGCTTTAAAGATGAATGGAGAGCAAGGTAATGCTACTAGGAACTAAATCTAAAATACAAGTTTTTTTTTAATGATCGACTTATATTATTATTGATTTCTTGACGCAAAAAGTTTATCTATATAGTACAGAGGCTATATCGCTGCAACATTTGTATTGTTAATGCAATATTGCTGGAACATTACAATGTTGCTGCATTATTAGAATGATCTGTGCATTGGTGTATAAGTAGTTTGATATTGTGATTATTTCAAAAAGACAATGCGTTTTTAAAAGAGTAAAATAATATTTTTAGGGTTAAAGATGTACAAGTACTTATTTTTTGCGTATGGCCGAAGGCAACGTTTGATCCGCAAGAGATTCTACGAGGATTTACGTACTTACGAAAGTTGATGATTGCGAACAGTAACTTAACTCGATTATCAACTGCATTTCCGAGCGAGATGCAATTTCTGGAGGTAGAAAATGCTTGTCAAGTAAAGAGCGAAAGCTTTGTTTATTAAAGTTGCTTATTCGAATTTTCATGGACAATAAGTGAGACAGTTTTAACATTACTTTATCAAAGAATAAGATACAAGTTCAGCAAACTGTCTCGGAAAACATTGATCATGAAAATTCGTTTTTATCGCGAGATTTATATTTTGCGTGTTTTATCTCAAGAATATTTACGGGAGCTTATTGGAGGAAATGTTTATATTAATAGAAAATCAATGTGACCGACACCAAACTGCGTTTACTACCGAACGATGCGTTCTCTAATCTGCGGACTTTGAGTTGCCTCGACTTAAGAAACAATGCTCTCGAAGAGATCAGTATTACGGTTTTCGATGTACCTACGTTGAAAGATATTTATCTGGCGGGTAATAATAATCCGATCAAATTTTTTGAAGAAGCTACAAATTTGTCAAATAAACAAGTTATGATTTAAGAAAAAGAGGCAAATTAAAATTACATTAATTTCATTAATATAAAATATAAATAATATAATTTTATAATTTTATAATTATATTAAAATTATAGTAATTATACTTTTTGTGAAATGCTGTGCAATACTTTTGTAATGCTAAAACTTTTTACGTGATTAATGAATTGTTTAATCAAAATTGCATTCAATTGATGCGCGAATCGTGGATAATTAATGAAGATGTACTGACGAAGGTAATCCATTGAGATGTACGGAAGATGTAGCGTGGATTTTGGACTCGAGTGAAGGATCAGCCGCGAGTAAAGTCGTCGACAAAGACAAATTACTTTGCGCCACGCCGCATGATGGAAGACCCCTTGTCCCGATTGTCGAGATAATAGTGGTAACGAGAAAATGCATCTTCTTCCTGTAATTGATGATTAAACAGATCTTGAGTTCTCCGCTAAATCAATCTGATTTTCAGACATTGAAGGAGGAATGCAAAGAGACAGTTTGTGATTGCGAATTGATTTACGTGGTTGCACGTGCAGGCAAACTTACGCAGAGACAGCTTATAGCTTTTACTTCAGTCAATTGTAGTCATCGCGATCTAACAGAAATGCCCGAAATTTTACCAGCAGATACAACGACTCTTCACCTAAGTGGAAATAAGGTCATTTATATTTACACAATTCTCCCCCTTTAACAATAATTTTTACAGACGCGTCATATAAAGTAGAATTACAAAACGTTATAAATATGTGATTCAGTGATAGATATTTGTAAATATGTTACATTTTTGTTCATATTTTAAAAAAATAAATAACATATTTGCAAAGAATAAATATTGAAAATTACTTCCTTTTACTTTTCTTACGTATAATGCACTTTTCATATATCTATACATTATAATGATTCACATATTAGATGGTGGCTAAAACTTTAATCTGGCCTGTTGTTTACTATAGATCAAGGACCTAACTCCGCTTGCAACAAATCCCGCTTACAAGTCCGTGTTAGACCTCTACATAGACGATAATCTGGTAGAATCTATCGCTCGCTTAGAAGGATCAGACTGGCTGGACCGTTTCCGACTCCTTAATCTTCGAGGGAATAAACTTACCGATGTTAGTTCGCCGTGTCAAAGTTATCAGATGTCACGTAAGCAAACAATCCGTTTCATTTGACGGATTTCGGAATAAGGAAAAACTGTTTGAGTTAATTTCGTGCAGCACGGTAGATGATCAAGAATTGAGATACGCGATTTAGGGAGATTATAAAGTAAAATCACGCGCCGTTTTTTATATCACCCCCCCCCCCCAAAAAAAACTACACCAGTCAATGAACAAATAAGAAATTCACGATATAAACAGTGAATTATAGTGCGTGTATAAAAGAGAAAAGACAACAAATCTTTCAAAAATAAAAGCTGGTTATTTAATCTTTAAAAATATCATAAGTTATCTTTAAAAAATAAGATAAAAATGATAGTTTTAATTGTGAAAAAGTGAAAAACCACAAAAAACTAATGAATGACCGATAAGTTTCAATTAATGACCGATTCGTACTAGTAAATGACCAGTATACAAGTTTTCCTTTTAAAAAAACACGTAGATTTCAGTAAATATACATTTGAATTCAACAAAAATGTCTATTGAATAACTGGATTCTCTATATAATTATAAAATATTTATATACTTTTATTTACATAATAATAATACATTTATTATTGATCAATCTTCAAAATATGTATTTTTATAATTCTAGACTTGAATGTGTGAAAGCGTAATCATAAATTTTATAATATAAATCAACAAACCATTTGTGTATATCTTCTTCTGTAACAGATGTTCTAGCTTTTGATAATATTTCAGTATTTCTGAAACTGATTTTAGGATGTCTTTTCAATAATAAATTCATCCATTTTCTACCAAGCCTATTATTTACAAATGAATTTTTTCGATTACTTTTTTCTAGAAAAAATTGCACTGCATCTTGTACATCACTTGTATACTTTGGAAATCCCGACTTTGCTTTGTTAATTATCTAAGTTTTTTAATTCGTTCTTCTTCTTTTGAATAAAGAACAGGCCAAGGTATTTAGGTCCTATTTTTCTCTCAATAGGTACGTTTTCAAGTATCTTAAAAAGTGTACCTTTTGATATTTTATACTGCTGTGATGCTTTATTTATACTCATTCCATCAACACATACACTATATTAATAGCATCTTGCAACGTTTCTTTTGAATAAGAAAATCTGCAGTATTTTCTTTTTCCTTTATTTTTCTCAGAACTTGACATACTTAAAGATTGTTTGAAAATAAAAATAAATTCTAAAAATATAAAAAGAAAAGGAGAAATGAATCTATTATTTTGTCCTTATTCATTTATATATTAAAGCAATTTTTTAATTCGCCACTTTATATGTGATAAAAATAGCTTTATTAACAATAATGATTAACATTTTTCAAAAGTACTAATATAAAATAAGAATTGTGAGAAGACTAATATTTACTCTCTAAATCTGAATCGATAGTGACTGATTATCCAGTGGCATACTTAACACTGGATAACCAATGAAGTACAACTAAAAAAGACAGAAAATTTGTGTACCATAAACTTAAAATACTAATATTTGCACGTTAATTTCAATTTTCCAATACCATATTTATTAAATTTATGCACTAAAACAGAGTTAGTTAAATCACATAATAAAGGTTAGCAAGATTAGAGATCACATATTTCATTCATTGATTACCAGTAGCATACTTGGCACTGACAGCAATGATTATTCACTGATTCACAGATTTAGAGAAGGTGAAAAACCAAGAAACCAAGAAAACCAAGTGAATTACCGATAAATTTCAATTAATGACCGATGTGTACTAGCAAATGACAAGTACGAGTATACAAGTTTTTCTTTTAAAAGAATACGTAGATTTCAGTAATATACATTTGGATTCAAGTTATTCTATTTTGCTTATAGTAAATTTCTGTATGAATATCTAATCTCCTTGTGTTCAGTTTACTAATTAATGACTAATGTATCATTTACTGGTACAAATGAAAACAAAATGCACCAATATTTGACTCGTAAGAAATATAACTAAAAACAAGTAAAATACAATAATAAATAAGCAATAAATAAAAATTTAACATTATGCTATCCTAAAGAAATTGATTTTCAGTTCTTTGATAACAAATACTTAATATAAAAGTTACTTCTTTTAATACGTGTATTCTATTTAAATTAGATTTAAAAAATATCAATTAATTTACAATTTATTATTTTAAAATCTTTTTATTATTTTAATATTTTTTTGAAGCAGTCATTTACTGGTGATTGTTCAGAAATTGGAATGCAGTGACCCTAGTTGCTATTTCATCATTATAAGATCACAAATACAATTTATGATTTGATCTGCGTCTTTTAGTTGCCTACTTACGCTTTGGAAAATGCATTACTGTACAATAGCAATGCAGCTAATCTATATCTCGGCAATAATTCGTGGACGTGCGACTGTCACTTTACACCAGGCTTTCAGGTTATAATTTAATTAATAATATAATTTAATTGACAATATACAGGGTGTTGCAAAAATTTATAATTCAAAGTACTATAGCAAGTTCTCAAAAAATTAAGTAAAAAAGTTATTTTTAAATTTTTATTTTAAGCAATAATTTTTGAGATAATAAAGGTTTAAATATAGTCAATTGCAAATTATGTTCAGATGACTATGTGTCCATTACATCTGAGAAACTATTGCTTAAAATAAAAATTTTCAAATAACTTTTTTTTACTTAATTTTTCGAAAACCTTTTTGCTATAATATTTTGAGTCGCAAATTTTGGGATGTATAGTATAAAGTTTGCATACATTCTTCAATCGTTTACAATTCTTAAAAGATCAAAATAGATAGTGTAATATAAATAAATTAGTATTAAAATTTAAGTTTAATTTTCAATATTGAAATATTTACAATTTTTTTGTTTGAATTTCTTACTTCTAATTTAAAAAAGAGACCTTAACCAGAACTCAATCATTATTAATTTAGTCGTATGATTTTATTTAACATTTTGTATAGGATCTTCTGATCAGGCATCCAAATATAATAAAAGACATCAACGATATAAGATGCGCTTTTACGAGTGACAACGATAACTCAAACAAACAGGTAACTAATTGCACGTCTTTTTTATCAAGTCAGATTGAAAAGCAGACGCATGAATAATGCAATTAAAATGCAATTGCGTGCTTTAACGTAATAAAATGGTTCTCACAGATTCGTGATCTTACGCGAACAGAGATCTGCATTTCACCAGACGAAGATTCTTGGCTTCATCCCCTCGACATTTTGAACATCATATTGGCGTCATTAATATTCCTCGTGCTTGGCAAGCTTTTGTATGATTATTGGTCTTTTAAGAAAACCGGAAAGCTACCTTGGATCGTCGCCAAAATACCATGATAGCGGTACAAGTGCCTCTTGCAAAAGAGTGTTTGAACAGTCGAGTGTTTGATCATTAGAGTAACAATGGAAATTGTAATGAAGGAATGAATATATCTGCATCAAAATATTTTTTACTTACAAAATCTGCGGCACTCTTTCTTGTAAATTCAGTATACTAATTTTGAATTTAATTAAAGTTTTTAAATATAAGTCGTAAATACTAAATAAAAACAAGATACAAACTTGTGTTTAGATCAAATAAAAAATTTCAACATGTAAAATTTCCAAAAACTGTTTGGATATAATTTCACGTTTATTTAAATTTTATTATCAAAGATAAACCAAAAGAGTAAGCAGTACATTATATCGTAATAATTGATTTTTGAACTTATGTTGATTGCTGCTCCTCACAAATATATTTCTGATATAGATTTTCAGCAGCAGCAATCTTAGCGCTATCTATCCTCAATCCTTGTCCTATAAATAAATAATAAAATATGTTAAACTAATAAGTATTTAAGAAAACTGATTATATATAAAAAAATAGTGTTATAAAAATTATGTTAAGCTTTTTCTAAAATGTAAAATATTTTTTCAATATTACAAAACAAAATAATAACAAACTAATTCCGTATGTGATAAAATTAAAAAAGTTTTAACTTGATGATTCCTTTTATTATTATTATTTTTAACCAGATTATATTAAATGAGAAAATAACATACCAACTCCGACATGACCTAAAGCTACGCATTGAGCTGTGTACGTAAACCCTTGATGTGTTGTCGAATTGCCAATAGTATACTTCGGAATAGATTCTCCTTTCTCGAGACAAAATTTGTAGAGTTTTTGCGACGCGTTCTTCAACTCGCCTTCAAGTACTATTATCTCTAATATCCTGACACAAAGAGAATGCATCAAATTCTATTTTACATAAAGTCGATTGTTTTTCAAGCGATGCTCCGGGAAGTTTTATATCGTCGTAATCTATATCCTAATTTTTCTTATATTTTTGCACCATTAAACTTACTCTTCCCTTGAGAAATCTAATAATCCGTCGACAGATTTCGAGCCATCCATCTGACGCACGGCTATCATCCACAATATTTTTGCTGCCCATACGTTTTTGGCCAGATCTTTGGACGCGGCACACGACATTGCTGGCACATTATCCAAACTATGTTTAACAACGTGTAAAGAAGCACTTGCAACATTTTATATGTCGGATTTATGAACGACAAGTAAAAGTTATTAACCTTTAGATTGCCGACATTTTTTCATTAAAATAATGGTTCTTTTTCCTCAAAAATTTTTCTGTAAAAGTAACATGACGCAAAATTTTGAGATTTTTGCAAAGCCACAAAAGTGGCTTTTCCGGCACGGAACGTACGATCAAATATGAAAAATGTTTATTATTTCAAAAATAGTATATTTGGGGATTTTTGGTATCGTTGATTCCAATTCTGAGCATAGATTTAGGAAATTTCGAATCCTAAACATAATATTGACAACATAAATGAATAAACATATAGAGAAAAAAGAATGAATAAATCATGTAGAGAACTTTCTTTTATTTAGCATTACCCAGAGCTAATGACATAGACGTAAAAAGTTTATAGCTCTTTTTTGACTTTTCTTTTTTGTTTGGTTCTTAAACTTATTTTTTGTATTTTTTTACTTTTTTCTTGTTTTATAATTTTTTTTTACTTTTTTATATTTTTTACTTATTTTGTATATTTTTTTCATTACTTATATATTTTTATATATTTTGGGCAACATACACATATATATGTTTAATACAATTAGTATTTAAAATGCCACCAAAAATGGTATTTTAACTCACACTCAAAAGCCACAAAAGTGGCTTTCCCGACAGTCTAAAGGTTAAAATTGTTAAAGTATAATTGCTGGAAACAATTCGGTGTCGTTAAATAAAAAAATAATACTTAACATGTGTGTGTGTGTATATGATGTGATAATATTTCTTGTAATCTGTTTGTACGAGCTATGAAGTATTTACCGCGAAATCCACACAGGTCACCATTTATCACATACAGATTCGGTTTTGATTTGCACTTGTATGTGATTGGCACTTTACACTGCTTTGCATATTCTTCAAGGATAGTAAACGGTGAACGATGATTTGCAGAACATCTTGCAACACTGATCTATATTATTTAAACGTTTTTAATTATTAAAGCAGTAAGTGCAATTTTAAATAAATCAGATTTACATTTAAGGACCTTATCGTTGGATAAAAAAATAAAATTATCAAAGATTTTTATTATCCATAAGCTTCTTCTGTTCTAAAAAATTCACGTTGCAATATTTCATCCGCCTTACTTAATTCAGCCATATTATACTTAAATATAACATAAGTATCTTAATGTTGGCTTTTAATTACTTTTTCATCGCTTTTGTCAGATTTGTCATCATCGTTGACTGTCAATGAATGATTATCTATATTTCTGTCGATACTTGGCCCCGTTTCCGAATCGTTATCATCTGAGACGTGATTAAAGCAACATTTATTATTTATATAATAATTAAAAGCGAAATAAATTTTATACCTTCTGTATCATTATGATATTTACACAGTGCATTATCAGTTATATTTGCCCATCCTTCCAAACTATTTGCTTCACCCACTGCTTTCATCAATCCTAAATTACAAACATAATAATTTATTATAACAAGCGGTGTTATAAATTTTTCCTCGTTTACGAATTTGTAAAATATATTTTTTTCTAACTATTTCGTGTCGCACTCACTTTCTTCTGAACTCACAACGATTGCTTCGTCGTTATCCTTTACATTAGTATTTGATTCCTCTTGGGAATTGTGACATTTATTCATCAAGCTTGTTTTGAAATGTTCAGCAATCTCGTCTACTCTTAATGGTGAATTCAAATTATATTCTTGATAGGCGTGTTTCTTTTCACATTGAATAGATTCATTATAATGTTGAGACTCTAAATCCACTTGCTTTTCGTTAATATCGTGCACCTTCAATTGCGTTTCAACGTTTTCGGTGGCTTCGCGATGTTCTGAAATCTTGGAGGAAAAGGTATACCGTTTTTTTTATTTAATACAGCAAGTAATGACAGCATAATAAGTAATAATAAGTAGGAAGTATTGCGGGAAGCTACATACATTCGTTTCTTCGGCAAACGATTCTATGTCGGATACCATCGAAATCGTCGCGTTAGATTCCCGGGAATCCGGTGTGTGAAACGAGCTGGACGTGTCTGTAATATTGAGCGAACGTCAGATCCTGTGAACTAGCACAAGTTAGACAATATGCCGCGATGTAAATTTTAAATTCAGAATCGCTAAAATTTCTAGAATATACTTGGAAGCATACGAAATGAAAAATTATTATGTATAATTTGACAAATAAATTCTCTCTGTCTGTAAATTATAATAGAGGGTGTGGATGCAGTAAATTTAGCAAATCAGCTTACGCGTAGCATCAGATTACGTCGCAAATTTCCGAATAAGCACTTTTTAATCATTAAACGCTAGATTGACAAAATCAAGCAAATGAAGGATTATTCTAGATAACAATTTGGTCAATAAGTACGGCACAATTGAAAGGATAAATGAATGTGGGTCGTGCGTAAACCATACATTTCTATGAAAGATAAATCTTCCTCGTGAATAAATTACTTGTGTGTTTCCCATTATATCATGTATACCATTAATTTAATAACGTGATAATTACAATGAGGTTAGCCGAGTGCACGAATAAATGCAGGCTATTTGCATAATTGGATCACGCTATTGTAACCATTAATTTAAAGCTTAAGCTCGTTATTTTAAACATGTTAAATCGTAAAACATGTTAAACTGAGTACACTAAAATTTTCCGAAACTTGTTTGCCTGTCATGCACGTGTATGGAAAAATTGCCTTCCGGATTCGAAGAATTGCATACCATTTCCCTGAGTGCAAGGCGTTCTGAGCTGCTGCAGCAGATCCTCCGCTCGTTCGATCACTGTTTCCATCTCGCAGAGAAGCGGTGCCGCATTCGGAAATCGTCGCGTGATCGTGTCCCAAATGATCTCGGCATCCTCGACACCGTGCAGCGATCTCGGTGGTTCCAGCTTGCCGTGTATCGCCGTATCAGTGAACGATGCGCTCCCGCTGGACATTCGAGGATCCCGTCTTTTCGCAAGTCTGTCCGCGACGTAATGAATATTTCATCGAGAACGACGCGATAAATCTGTTGGGTTGCAGGCGAGCGGTTTTACGTTTTTCGTGGACGGAAAATTGACGGATGGAAGATGTCAAGAGGCAAACAACGTAGGAGCGCGATGTCATCCTGATGGCGATCAACCGTGCATGTCTTCCGCAGTACATTTTTTTGGATTGCGTGAATAAAGGTAAGACAGATTGCTGTTATCGTTAGTCAGAAGATAGAGGTATTTGTATTGAAGATTTAAAAATAAAATTATATTCTATGTTAACTTTAAATATTCTGCTGCTTTTATTACAAAGCGATAGCTTTGCATTTTGAAATTATTTTTGTTACAATCGATATCAAAATATGGATTCTATATCAATACATAGAATATATGTAGAATCGCGTAATATGTGGCAATTAAAAATCTATTTGTAATCTTGTAAAATAAGTAAAACAATAACTTTTAAAAAAGAACTTGTCAATCTTGTGCTTTTATAATAAAATTTGCAGCAAGATCTTTCTTTAGCAAAATAGGTGCTATAATATTCTTATCTACATTTTTTTGAAAAATTTTCTTCCAAATCATTTCTTGGTAAAAATAAAAATCTTTTTCATTATTTTTACTATAATCAGTGCTACGTTGTTATATTCTCATAAAATCTGTATATTGAAAACGAAGTTTCGCAAATCATCTCGAAAACAAACAAGAAATCGCATGAAAATTTAACGAGGCATTGCGATATAATGTGAATTAATAAACTTAAATTATAACTAGAACATGAATAGCATTCTTTCCCAAGGGATTGCGATTGAGAGAGTCTCTACAATCGTTTTATCGAGGAATTTATCGAGGAGAATTGACCTTTAAATATCAAAAGTTTCTGAACTTTTACACTGTATATGAGAAAAAGGAAAAGCAGGGGACTTTTTTTTAGCAAAAATTACAATTATGTTAAAAATTTTTTTATCTTCATTTTTTTTATAGATGTTTCTTAAATTTATTTCTTAAATTTATTTATTCTGTTAACTATATTTTTCTCAGTAAATATCACTATAAATTTAAATTATTATTTACTTAAAAAAATAAGAATTTTTGAAAATAAAAGAGATATAATTTGTGAAAATCTGTATGTGTTCTAACAATGAATAATTCTTCTAGTCATTGTTCATTATATAGGTTTATGTAGAACAAAACTTTGGACACTATGAATTATATGCCTTCATGAATATACATAAATGTATATACATAAAACTCGAAGAGAAAGTTATTTCTGAGAAAGAACGAAACGATAAATTGATTAATAATTCATTTCCCACGGCTGGTCTGCTGGGTTTCTTTAACGCGATGGTATTTTATTAAAATTATAAACACGGGATTACAATACATCGTGTAACGCGTAATACTTGCTTAGAAACGTCGTTGAATCAAGGCCTCTTTGATTCAAAACTCTTTACTATCCACTTTTTTTTTAGCTACGTATGTGCGAGCCAGTTTGTGCTACGGCATTTTTTTTCCTTTTTTTTTGTTATTTTTTTTCGTGTACGTTCTTACATACATGCATAGTACTATAGTTTCGTAATCGTAGGACGCATTCTCGATTGAGCGCGACGTGGAGTCGAGTCGTCGTACCGCATATAAATCCCATGATGACTACACGCTCCACAGTAGATTTTAGATTCATATCCGTCGGAGAAATTAAACTCGATGCTGATCCGCCTCGGTTACGGCGACGACAGGAACGACTTTCCGTGGGTGCTTTTAAAAGCCGGGTCATATCAACGTTTTGCTACCGAGAAGATACCGGGGAAATAATATAAATCGTCGTCCCCTTGTGAATAGAAAACGATGCGTCCCACAATGTTTATTACGTCGGTTTCCGTCGTCGAAGGACTTACGCGTTTAATTATTTATAGACAGATTTATCGTGAACTGCGAGAAAACCACCAACTCGAGAGTATATAAAAAATTTCGTGTGAAACGCTTCCTCTTCTTTTTGACGGAATTTTATATAAAGGGAAAATTGGGGAAAATTTCTTTTCGAAAGGAAGTCGTCTTGGTTATCCGTGAAAAAATGACTTCGCTACTTCAATCTCGACTAGATAGTGATGGATGGTGTGACGCGCTTAAATTAATTTCGAACTTTCGATATGTTAGAGTAAATTTTAACATGTCTTTAATGTGACAATCGCGCGGTTAACACATCGAGGAGCCTGGCGGGTGCACAGTTTCGCTTCTGATGCACTCTACGTTTATTCGCTAGTACATTACTCGTTATCGGATTCCGTGTCTTATAGCGTACAGAACGTTATATACTCGGACAGTTTTTCGTATTCGGGTAGAAAGAGACTTATAAAACTTTATGAATAAATAATAACTGCGGCAGTATTCGTTGGTAGGCGATGTCCTTATGTAATGAATTATTCACGGAGCAATTCATGAGACTGGCGAAAAAATATCTTAACGCGGCCGACGTCTCTGCGGAAATTTTCAAATTGTGACAGGACGCGTACGTAAGTCTGCAAAAATACCGTATCAAAATACCGCAATTGATTGCTAAAAATATCGAAAATTGCAATAACTCTCATTCAATTACGCGAGAGTTCAATATGAAATTCTCCAATTAATTGCTGTCTAAATTAATAAAGCTAGAAAATTTTTTTTAATTCGAAATGGACAGAAAAAATTACAAATGTATGTAAAATCGAACCGCTTCTTATTATAACCATTTTCTACGTTTCTAAAAGATTAAAGAGAAATATATAAAATTTTGCTTCATCCTAATTTGATTACGTCTTCTTAAGTATAATATAATAATATGTCAAATTTTTATTTTTGTCGATTATCGTTTTTCTGGTTCACCATAAATCGGCTTTAATTAATTTTTACCAAATTTTTTATCAAAGTATGTATATTACGTTCGAAAAATCGTGAGTTTGCATCCTGGGCTTCGACCACGATCTTTTTGATTCGATCGATGATCTAAAAATTACGCTTGGCCGCGTTAAGATATCGATGTCGCCAAAGAAGATTGCATTGGAAGGTCGTGATCCATCTTCGGCGATGGGTTTTCGAGGATGCGCATATTGCGAACGTGAAATTTACGCGAGAGATTTATTTCCGATTGTTGATACGCTTACTTCTATCACAGCATACAGACGTACGTTAGACGTGCTTTACCATACAGTGTCTATAATAGGCTAACTCGTGGAGACTGCGTCCATTTGCTTAACGTTTCGTTTGCTTAACAGGATTACGGTGTACATGCTTCTGTAGCATTCAATTAATTACACGTAGACATCTACGTCTCATTCAAGCGCGTATCGATACCGAACCTAGATTACTCGAGTAAATTATCTACATGTTCCATCTTCCATAAATCACTTATAAAGTTCAAAATATCGAAAACTACAGATAGTATAAAAAAATAATTGTTGGTTCGACGTTGAATGGAATGAGATCGGCGACTCGATCATTGCATTATAATGCACGAACATATCATAGTTAAGTGAGATTGAGTTATTTATGTATTATACAATAATACAATATAATGCATTATAATATAAGGATAGTTGTATCAGATTTGCATTAGGTAATACGAATTAGATCACAGTAAAGCAATTTGTGAGGTGGGAATCTATTTATATCCAATTATCGAGTTTTTTTCATAACATTCGTTAAAGCCAATAATTTGATTCTAATCAAAATGTCACGGTGTTAAATTACAAATACACGATGACTTTGATATTCAATTAAATCAGAAATAAAAATTTTTAATTAATACCTTTTAATAGTAAAAAAAAAACAGCCCAGTGCAGTCATCTTAATTTGAAACAATGCATCGCGACAACGTAGTTAATCCAAACCTACGGCTAGTCCGACCATAGGTGATCTAACGAGAAAATCAGATTAGAAGGTGTGAAGTGCGTGAGTCCAATAGTAACGATCTTCAAGATGGATCTTGCACAAACGTCAATGGCGTAATCCCCGTTAATCACGACTATTTCTTTTTATCAATTTTTTCTGCATGATCTCATATCACAAGTGATGTTACCGATAAGTGCGAATTGTCGGAACGTATGCGATCGGGATTAGAGGAGTACAATCAGAGAAGCAATGTACATTCGATCTTTACCCGCACGTCCGCGAATATCATTCGAATGTCATTCACGGTGTCATGAACTCTTCGCGTATCCTCACGTATGCTTTCCCATCTATCGCATCGTCATTCACACGTAAGCTATCGTGAAACGCTTCTCTCGCGCTTTGGCGCTCGCACCATCGTTCTATTCTCTTTTCCCTCCATCTCGTTACTTTTATCGTCGTACTCGTGGACGTTTACGACGTTTGCTCGATAACCGACAGAAAGTGCACTCAACGGAAACAGCGTATCCTACGTCTCTTAAAAGCATTGCGTACGCCAATTTCGCCGCTCTTCGTCCACTCGCGCGTATCTTTCGTTTTTTTTCATTTTACTCCTAAATCGTGTGTATCTAAACCTACCATGATACTGCGGTGTTTATCGTAAATGCCATATACACGAGCGTACGAGGTGCGTATACATCAACCTCGCGACTCCTTTCTGAAGGATTAGGCAGGTGTTACGTGGTATCCATTCTTGCGACAAGCTAGACGGATACCATCCACCTCGGTCTAATGAGTCGAATCACGATCTGCTTATTCAAGGCAAGCCGATCGTTATGATTCGATTAGAGAACTTGACTACGTTTGCCATCAACCAAGTGGCTACCAAGCACGTCTCGTGCGCTCGCTTCTATGCGCTTCGGATATATTCTACGGGATTTCGTACGATTACTGCGAGAGTATGTATACGTGTATATATGTGTGTGTGTGTGGTGTGTACGCATGTAAGTCTGTGCGTGTACGGGTATGTGTATGTGCGCCTTTGGGATGGGAGTGTTTGGCTGCCGTACACTCCGGTCCGTTACTCAAGGGAGTTGATGGGAAAGTGGAGGAGAGGGGCCCAGAGCGAGGTAGGCATTTAAAAATCATGACTATTCACACGGTGGTCTCAATATTGGCGATGGCGTATTGTCAACAAATACTATCCTTCCCGTAATTCTCCAGGTACATTTCCTGGGGTGTGGCTAAGTTGTAGCGTCCACTCAAACGGCTCCCGGTCAAGCCGTTATTGTGATGAGTGTGGTTCACGTGGAGATGATTGACGTTCAAGGCAACGTTCTTCTTCTTCTTACGCGCCTTGTGCCGGTAGAGACAATATTTGAGACAACCAGTGGCCAACAGGAGGATTAAGAATATACCGAGGGCACCGGCGCCCACCGCGACGTAGAGCAGCGTCACTCCGAAACGGTACGAGCAATTGGCTTCTTCCTCGTCAAAGCCTGAGGGACAATGACGTACACCATCGCACCATAGGACAGAGCTGATGCATGCCTGGATCTCTGGACATCTAATGACAGAAACAGAGAGTTCCAATTAAGTGATTTTATTTCGATTAATTAAACTCTGACATTATATATTTCACAACAAATAAAAAAAATTTATTTTTTATATATGGAAATTACATTACGAACCTGTACGGGCAATCTTCCGTGGGCAGTATGGCAAACGCATTGGCACCCACATTGGGCGCGGTTGGCGAACGTTTGGAGATCGCGATCCACGTGACGGCGTAGAAACCTGGTTCCCGCTGAAGGAATTCCACGACGAAGCTGCGGGAGTGCTGCGCCATCGCCACGCTCGCATTCACGGCACTATAATTCCAGCCACCTGAGAAGAAGTCGACGGTCCTGGCCGTGTCGACGCCACCCTCTGGACAGATCACACTGCGCTCTTTTGTATTCGCAGCTGAATAAACAATGATTCTATTCAGAGTCGTGCACTCTTCAACGTTGTCCAAGGTAATGCCGTAACCAGCGGTTCTCAAGTACAGGAAGTTAATACGCGCGTCTTCAGGTTCAATTAGCCACGGCTCGTTCACGCATTGCGTCGCGGTGAGATCCTCTGTGTTAGTTAGGATCTCCTCCACTGCGGCCAGGCCGGGAATCACCCGCGGTAAAGGACTCCTGAGGGAAATCTCGCCGCTGGTGCCGCGCAGTCGTCGCTCCTCGAGTCTCGTCGAACATCCGTGCTCATTCGATTCCGCGCCCACCGGGATGAAACGATATTCTCCCTCGAAGAAGAAGTCTCGGTAATCCTGGGTAACATTCATGAGCGTGATGGTAAACCTGACCTCCACCACGTTCGATGTCAGAGTCCGCACAACGATTCTCTCACTCACGTTCGAGCACAGACAATCACGAACCTAAAAGCAGAGGATTACAACGATTACGAAAAGGGGTATTATATTATTTTATTTCGAAGATATTCGATTAATTAATTACTTAGAAATAAGTTTTTCAGAATTTTTATATTAATCCCTTTGGAGATAGACTTTCAAAATGACTTTTTAATGAGAAGGGGAGAGAGTGGCAATTTAGAAATGTTTAAATTAAAATCAAAATTAATTACTAATCGGGTTCTCGAAGTTTAAATTAAAGAAGAAAAAAGATTATGTTATGTCATACATACCAATTCGACTCCTTGCCAAGGATATTCAGCAACAACAAGATCCGCTATGCCGAACTTTTTAACATCCGCCATTCGGCGGTCGCACGTCCATCGATTTACCAACGGGTCCACGTAAGACGCGCAACTCTTGCCACCGAAGGAGGCCCTGACGAAGGATAGCTCTATCCTGTGATCGGGCTCGGCCTCGAATCTGTACATGCAGCTCAGATTCTGCGCTCCACCGCGACCGTAGAAGAAGACGTTCTTCGGTGAGGCGAATTTTCCGGCGTTGGATGATAAGGAGGATGAGGATGATGAAGAAGAAGAGGACGATAAAGACGACGTGGAAGACGTGGATGAGGTTGACGGCACCGAGGCGAACACGTGGTTACACGAGATGGCCTCGTGGACGAACTCATAGCGCAGCACGAAACTTATTGGATATAGCGCGCTACCCTGGCGCAATATGTGTTCCAGGGTGAGATCGCGGCCGGTCGACACGTAACTCTCCGCAAGACTACACGGTCGCGTATGACGGCTGCTGTTACGCAACAGACTGTGGTCGCAGAGTCGCGGTATGTCGTCCTTACAAAATTGTCCCATCAGCGTGACGTTCTGCGAAATTATCAAAGACGGGATGCATCAGATAAGAGATCGTATTGTCACAAAATATCACATACAAAAATACTATAGTTACGTTACGTATATTATAGATTTCCTTAATGTCTTATTTCCCTAGCGATATTCTTCGAAAATAAGGCAAGAATATCGAATGTTCAGTCTTATTGTCGTAATTTGACAATTTTGTCGCGTAACGTATATTAATATATGTACAGAATCTTTGACGTTATATTCTCGAATAATTATACCCTTAGAATTCGCGGAAGAAATTTCATAATTTCTCTTGCGAGATATTTAGATTATGTATTTCTCCTGCTCGTGGAATCAAAGCACTCTTTTCTGAATTTATATTTATATCTATATTACTTTACTAACAAAGTTACTTCAGTAACGAAGTTATATTACTTCAGTAACGAAGCAAGAAAGTTGCTAAGTAACAGACTTTGTAGAGGCTGGATACAATTTGGTACGTACTTTTCGGCTGAAAGTAAGTTTGTCCACTGTGATATCACCATCCCATATCAGAAGCTTTGCATTGCAATCAGCGGCAGTGTCGATACTCGCAGCAGCTTCCACGCTGGCGGCGTAATATTTAACGAACGATAACCAAACGATTTCATTGAGTTTCCCTTGGAAGTGATAACGGCAAGTTGTGTTCGGCGGTAAAGAGTGTTTCGGATTTTCCAGAATTCCCGACGAGTTCTCGTCACCAGATATATAAAAATCGCAGTTGTCGTTTTCCTTCACAAAACTTCGAGACTTTTCGTCGACAAAGATCACCTATACGTGTGAATGTACATATATATATGTATAGAGAAGCAATATCGATACATTGTTGAATATATTTAATTTTGATTTATATATTTAAATCCAATTTTATCACATTTTAATAATCTATCAGCGACATTAAAATAATCACAAATAATTAATTCCATGAATTGCAATTTTCATATTTTTGCAACAAATTTGTGATGATGTTATGTGAAAAGGTATCATGATATCCGAGCATTACCTGAACCTCGAGTTCAAATCCTGGCAGGAAAGACAGTGGTACTGGATGAAACGGATTGTCGTACGGGGACGTATGAAACTCTAACAACATCGTATTGTGACTGCTGATGATGTCTGGCACCGCATCTCCTCCACACAGCCTTACAAGTACTCGGTCTGAGGTCGAACCTCCGTCATATACCGTTAAATAATCCTGCACGACGTTGCACTGATCCCATACCCTTGAAAAACGCGTGAATTTTATTTGGAAATTCTATTTTCTATGTTATTTATATTTGTTCTCCTTGCGTATCTCTGTTTCTCTATCTTTGAAAATTTTTCGTATCATAAAGAGATATGCTCGCGAAATTATTGACAACATATTAAATACACTAATTTAAAAAAAAATATTTTTTTAATAATTTTAACTCAGACTAGATGTTTTTATAGATTTTTTTACTGAAAACACGAATTAAATTTTAACAATATGGATCAACCATGCATTCAGAATTTCAAATAATGTCAACTTTTTTTTTTAAAAAAAAAGTCAAAGTAAAAAACCATTTTTTGTACAATACATTGAATATCAATTATTTCAAAAACCTGACTGAAGAAATGGTAAAACTTCGAAAAAGCTACAGCATCTACAATTTTAATGCAAATACATTTTTTCCATGTTTTTTTGGTTCCTGAAAACGAATCTGACAATAAAATTTGGTGGTCAATCATACTTTGGCCGTCATTTTGAAATACGAAACGTGTATCGCTAAAGGTCAAATAGAGGGTGTTCACCTCAAAAATCGATGAAATTATACTCATTCGACACGTTCTTGCATAAAACGAAAAAATCTGGCAGAAAAAAGCATCGCTCTGCCCTGCAAATCGAGATATTAATCGTTAAAGTTCACGACTATTGAGGTAAGGAAATCTATCATGTGGACAGTGGAGTGTATAGACAGTAGAGCTTAGACTGTGTTCGCTTGGAATATTTCTAACCTATGTAATATTTCTAATCTACGGCTACGCCGCCCTGAACAAAAAAAGAATAACATAAACTCCCCGCTTGGGGCCTAACCGCCTAGAAGTTACAGCCTAGACAGTGTCCACTTGGAATATTTCTAACCCATGACCGTTAAATTTACGAACATTAGGCATAGAAACTTTTTTGTAGAGAGTTTAAAGGGTTTCATTTTTTGTTTGAAACTTTTTTTTGTGAAATCAATATTTTCTGAGATATGCATTAAAAAAGCGAAAAAAAACCGATTTTTTGGCAGTTTTTTCAAAATGACGGCCAAAGTATGATTGACCTCCAAATTTTATTGTCAGATTCGTTTTCAGGAGCCAAAAATACATGGAAAAAATGTATTTGTATTAAAATTGTAGATGCTGTAGCTTTTCCGAAGTTTAACCGAAGAAATTTAGCTTGCGTTTCGTATCTTTAGCATTCAAAAATCTATAAAAACACTGTTTGGTTCAAAGTGATTTTTTGCTATGTAAACTAGTGGTATTAATTCGACATTATACTTTACTGAATATTGACTTGATTAGTATCATTAACATCAGCGATTTACCTTAGCACTCGCTGACTTCTGTCGTATTTCACGACCTGGTCCTTAATGTGTATCTTGTGACTGTTTCGCTGACTAACGGCGAGTAGAGCCCGATGACCCACCGGCGCGCGGTTTTGCTCCACCCGATAGTAGCAAGTGACATTCCTGGGATAAACTCCGGGATAATTCGGCGACTGCAGCCGGCAGGCTCTAGTATCGCATTTAGTAAGGACGCGATCGCAATACGTGCCGTTTACCAGCTCGCCGCGCCATGTGGACATACTACTGTTTCCGTATCTGAGATGCGCCTCGCTTCTTCTCAGGAACTTGTACGACAGCTTGAAGTCGAAGTTGTAGCCGATACCCTGAGACACGGAAAAATTTCCCGAAATTGTGCCACGATCGTAACACGTCGTCCCTTTTACTTCACGTTGAATATTCTCAGTGGGAAAATTTTATTCAAAATATCTCGTTGCTGATCGTTTCAGAATTTTTTACGACCTTTTTGTTGGACAATTCGCAAGTCGATTTTAACTTTAACAAATGTATAATTTAAAAATTGGAGAAATAGCGACATAACAAATAATGAATGATGTTTTCAATATTTCTCTGACAAGAAAAGGCAACTTTGAATATCGTTATTTAAATTAAAATACTACTGTAGAACAACTACGACAAAAGTTCCATATTGCCGTGGTGAAATTGCGGAAAATCGTATCGCGTATCTCCTTGAGCTGAAGCAATTTCTTACCTGCTCTGATAAACGTAGTAAATATAAAGTCAGATTGATGGAAGGAGTTTCGCTGTAATAGACGGTGTAGCCCCACGCGCTGCCACACCATTGTCCTCCCGTTGCAGGACGACCTTCCTCGCGAATAGTCATGAAACCATCTGGACATCCTTCCGACGTAAAGGACAGAAAGCGGCCGACCGTGAAGGTATCAAAAGTTAACTGTAACATCGGATCCACAGGAGGGGAGCATTATTCTAAAAGTTATGAGCGAGTATCCGCGTGCGCAACTAGCCAACGGTTTTTGTTGGAAATAAAACTAAAGATAAAAGTTAGAATATCAGTTATTACGAACCCTTCGCGATAAAAGCAAATATTTCTATAATAACCTCGTTAATTATTTTGCAATGTACACGTTTTTCGTGAAATATGAGAATGAATAAGAGAAGTCACAAGAAGGAAGTTTCATAGCGCGAAAAGTTACATAACTCCTGCAATATGAAAATACACGGTTAGAAAATTTGTGTTAAATTTAACATATTTCACGTGTCCCAAAAGTTTCACTCAAATTTTTGTAAATTTATTATAATTTAACATATAAGATGAATATATTAAAAAGTAACACAAATATTACGTAAAAAAATTAAGATAAAAAATATAATACTGGCATAATTTGTAAGTAAATTGTGTGGAAAATATGTTTTTCGTATAAAATTAATATATATTTTTTTTAATCATATATATTTTACTCATTTATTTTAGAACTTACATTTTAAAATACATTACTTTTATTTTTGCTTATTCATAAACTATCATTTTGACACTAAAAAATGTTATTTAACACAAACTATCAATATCAAATAATATAATCACATGTTAAATTAATGGTCAAATATGTTAAAAATTCAATACAAAATTTTGGTGAGTAGAATGTTGAGTGGACTGTTTTAATACAAATACAAAATATTTTTTATTATCCCTAGTGGAAATCTCCTCATAGGTAGTTCCAAAAATGTCCATGACCCATGGGTATATGTCCATTTTAGAAGGGTATATACCATCTAAAATGGGTATGTACCCGTTCCAAATCTTCTTATCATGAGAAGATTTCCACCAGGGATGTATATAAAAAATGCAACTATTTTATAAATTCTATGATATAAATATTTTATATCCGTATATATATATAAATATTTTGTATCTGTATATGTATGTACAATATATACTATTTGAACAATACTAACACAATAGCAGATAAGTTTAAAAAATCTTTTAATTCGTAAATATTGACTTTTGGAAGTGTCGAGAAAAGCTGTTTGAAAGATTCAGAAGCTTTCAAGTATTTTTACGCCGTCATTTTTACGTTTTTATTGTATTCCGAGATACCCGGCACATCTATTGTGAAAACTTTATGCTCTTGACCGCTTGATTGTACTTCGCTAACAATGTAAATATCGGTTCTATCATTGCGGAGAGACGTAATAATCGATATGTCAATAGGGATCGAAAATATATACCTGAAAATATATACTCGAGAACTTACAGTTAAGGATCGGGGATCTGTGGAGTAAGCTTATTCCGCAATGGCGGACGCGGTGTTTACTCAGGGTGGCAGCTGATTTAATTTCGCCAATAAACGCGATAAGAATCGTAAAATCCGGGATATAAATTATTATCCGGGCTCCGACGCGACGCGGCCCGCTGTCTGCTCCGTGACAGACTCCCCACGCCAACTGGGCACCAGTCAGCATTATTTTCTACAACTACATCATTTCTATGTCCAACCTGAACTAGATCCCCGAGATCGGATCCGGCGGCAGTGAAGTTGAGGTGACACAGGAATGGCAGTCGATCCTCCCTCGGCCTGCGGATCTCCACTCTGTAGGTCCGGCCGACGTCACCGTACAACGTCCGATTGCAAGCTGAAAATGTTTGTTTGTTTGTTCGGTTGTTTCCTTTTTTCATCGTGCAATAATTACGCGGAAAAGTAAACTGCGTCGTATAATCGTTCGTGCGTGTTATTACGTGGTAAAATAATATCCAAGAGAATTTTAACGCCTAACTAAGCGCACGGTGTCCTGACACATCGAAGCGTATAATGTCCGATTGCACGCCGAAATGTTTCCGTCATGCGTTCACAATCACACTGGGAAAATATATTCGGAAATATTTCAATATTTCGTTGTGATTATACTCATAATACAGGTGGGATAAAATATTATTTTTGAAACAAAATATTAATTCTCCTATTATAACTATTATAAATATTAACTATTTTCACGGTTTTACATATCAAGCCGAACAAAGTCCGATGGTAAGCTGGAATGTTTTTATTGTGTAATTATTATGCTCGAAAAATGAATCTTAGGATACAATTATGGTAGATTATAACACGGCATAATAATACATTATTTTATAAAATTTAATCTCTTAATTACTTTCTTCTTTCTCTCTCTCTCTCTCTCTCTCTCTTTCTCAGATGTAATGTAATCTATACATTTAGTTCAACATTTATAGACATTTATATGCATTCAAATTTACAGCTCTCACATTTTTATAATATATTTACATTTAATACATATGTTACATTGTTATATTGCTATAGCTTTATTTATAATACAATATAATATTTAACAAATTAATAGCAGTGTGAAAAATTAATGCACAAATCCATAAGAATTAGTATAATGTTGATTAATAGGATTAATAACAATGCTGATTAAAAATCTTCTATACAATTGCTGTATCTTTTCATATTCTTATTTCATGACTACTAAAAGTATATAAAGTACATATAATTATTTCATGTAATTAGCTCACATGAGCCTGTGCATTTTTAATATGAATTTGAAATTTTATGAAGGAATTGGATCATGAATGCTATAATAAATTCCTCCTATTATGTTACGTTTCTATTGAAATGTATTGCATATATTATCGAAAATTAAAAATTCAGAAAGATGAAAATGCGATATTTGTGTAACATAATTATATTTGAGCTTTGTAAATCGATTAAATTTCGTATGAAGTGGTAATTACTATTATACTAATAATGAACGAACAAATTATTTACCTCATTAAATTATTAAATAAAAATTATTTAATTGTGCGTTTGTATGCTAATACAAGCCATATGTTAAAACAAGCACAATACTAATGTTATATGTTCTATGAACGACACATATTCTATGAATAAATTTTATATCATTATACAATTTTGATTTTTATACAAATTGAGCTGCAATGATAACGCACAGTTAAATAATGACTGGCTTGGAACATTATTTGCTTGGATGAGCGAAAACTTTGTTCCTGATTTATATACTCAATAATTCATATTGTTTTGAGTATGTCAGATAAAGCGATCATACATGAGCGGAAACGATTGTAATTATTTTTTTATTTTTATTTTTATTTTTAAATATCGATTGTTACCGTCAATACATTTTTCATTTTATTATCAGGTGTATGTACACTGTGGATCTACTACATTCACAGTGTATCTACTGTGAATATTTGATTGTCTGTTTGACAATGATTAATCCGATATTCTGTCCTATAAACAAAAATCTCTTTAATTTTTAGAAGCACGAAAATGATAATCCATTGGTTGACATTGATGAACATGGTGATTTACTTTGTGCTTTTTTGTTACATTATTCAGCAATCATACATAAATCAGATTTGATAAGGAAATTATAACAATAAATTTTTCCAAGAAGTGATTGATTCAACTCATTTATTATTTTTCAGATTGTCCCTAAATATATAATAATAATAAAAGTTTCTTCGAGAAGCAGAGGGAGAGAGAGATAGAGACACAGAGATACCTCGACGTATCGATTTGCCTCGGCGACTTGCTTTGTTCGACATCTCCGTTCGTTCGCGGAGGTACTCACGGGTGCAATATCTCGGCTCGTCAGACTTGTCGTCGCAGTCATTCTCGCCGTCGCAGTACTTGTCCTGCGCGACACAATGACCGGTGGTGCTGCATCGGAACTCGGACGGTCGGCAAAGCGACTGGGTGTTGCTGGCTGCGAGCTCTGACGTCGGGCCGGACGTGGACGAGCTCGACGACGGCGAGGACTCGGGTGACGTCGCGCCGGAATAAACCGCGTATCCACTCGGGTATCCGGAATAATCCGACGACGAGATGCCGGGGTGGTAACTAGTCGAGCCAGCCTCGATCGAGGCCGCGATCGCGGCTGCGATCAGCAGCAACCGCCGACACACCAACATGCCCCCTCACCCTAAAAGTAAATTAAATTTCGCAAAGTTAAATAAACTTCATATGGTCATATATGCAAGACAGTCAAGTGCAGTGAATTCTAATTCTATTTTACCATTTAACTTTTAAGTAAGTAAGTAAGTAAGTAACTACAGCGTCCTATGCATAGTTATTCTGAAAATCTTGTTCTGGAAAAGGAAAATGAAAAGTAATATCTGGAAGTCTCTTAAAGTTCATTATTTTCACCTTCCTCTATTTCATAAATAAATAATGTAAATTCAACATTTAACTTTATACACATCATTAAAAAATGTAACTATAAAAACAAAAAATTTTTGAGCTTTCACCTACTTATTTAAAGGTTAATCGTAAAACGATTCAACGCAACTAGCGGTAGACGAAACTAAATTTTTCTAACTTTATACACACAGAAGAACATTAAATTTCTTTCTTAAAGCAGAAGTTTGAGACTTATATTCCATACATCAAGAAAACTTGGATTCCGTTAGACCATGAGTTTGTCTTAGCCAAGATAATATTAAATCAAATGAGATTGAAAATATTTTGTTAATTCTTTTTTAGACTATATTTATAATTATATGAACTTATAATAAATTAATAATATTTAATCTATAATAAAAAGAGAATTATATTTTAACTTTATGCATCATAGATCATTTGAAGCGGGCTTTAGTTTTATTAATAAATAATGGTGTTAGATATAATACATGAAACTGGTTTATAATATATCTCGCAAACTTCTAATATTGGTTTGTACTAGATATCCACGGTTTCTCCGATAGTGGCGGTAGTTTCACAAGTTCTTATCTGTGCGAAGAGAGTCCACTGACAATGGAGTCCTAAGGGCTTTACAAATTGTCAATAAATGGGTAGGAACTATCAGATTCTATCCAGAAAGAGAAAGTTTCTTGTTTAGTTTTCATTCTAAAGAAGAAGATAATCTCCGCATAAAAGAAACAGTACGTTTTTAGTCCTTCAGCGTTTGCTGCATCGGTACCGCCACTCACTGCAACGATGCAAGAAGGAGAAACGATACCATTCAAAATCATGAAGAAGTAAATTGATATTGCGGAAGGACCTGGGAAAAGTCTTGGCAAGACCTTGGATATATTCATTGGTCGAGGATATATATTCTCTTAAAAAGAACCGAATAAATAGTCGTAATATTTCATGGCTTGCAGGTGTTGCTCCAGCCTGTTCTTCGTAACACTTTTTAGTGACGGCTCTCTTACACAGCAAAGCCCTCCTCTTTCGTGGTTACATTTTTCTTCCTCCGCGTATGTGCCTCTCTCTTGTTGCTTCATTATTTAGCTTCTGTGATATAATTGTATCTTGATATATAAAGCGAGTAATATTTTCCCTCTCTGTCGTTCTTAAATATTAAGTAAATTTTAATTCTTTACACAATTTTATGGAATTAAATTTGTCAACAATTTAAAAAGTTGAAAATTTTTTCTAAATATTTCATTAGTGCATGGAAATACCATTTTTTTTTTCGAGGATTTTCTCAATCTCCTATGCAGTCGGCTCGGCGATCAATGATTCACCCGATTGCATGTGAATAAAACGTTCTTTGCTTTATCTCCGGTCCGCTCTTTCTCTGTGTCACAGGGGATGTTGGCGCGGGATGTGCATCATCAACAACATTGGTTCACCCGATTTAAAATCTTCCCTCTTCGTGCTCCATCTCTCTTACAACTGGACCCTTCACTTTTTACGAAACTTTATTCATTCCACTCGAGCCCTTCCTTTCTCAAAGTCATTTTAGTCGTTTACCATCACTCGAATACTATTCGACGATTTGTTACATCAGAGACACTAACTTGATGCATCCATTCTTACATTACATGAAAAACGCGCGTTTTAATAAATTCTCGCAATAAACGTATAATGAAAGACAGAAGTAATAACGCGTGTTTGTGCCTTAAATGTTCTTTGATTAACTTAAGCAAATTTTATTTACTTTGATATACGAGATTTATTTCAAAACATATAAAATGAATACCGGCTTTAACTCGTTAAAGACACCAAATACAACTCGGTAGGTGATTCCCGTGGAGTGTTTAGCGAAAGGAGCGGATTATGCTAATTCTATTCAGAAAACTAACTTCTCTTACGTGAATGGACTCGCCAGTGACGCCAGTTCTCAGTACAAATACCGTGGATCTATTAATTCGCACGGCAACTCGCGCGGATCGATCCCGCGCGAGTGTTTGTAACAAAGTTCCACCGTCCTTATCTGCGAAACTTGATAACACAACGTACGCTTAGAAAGCAAATGCGCGACGTTACGGTACTCGTGTTATCCTGTCTTTTTAACCCCCCGCGCGTACAACACCACCCCGTGCAAAACCCATCGGCTTTCGGGTGAATAATATCCATGCTAATGTAACGTTGTCGCGAAAACGTCAGCGCTAACGAGCGACACGACGTGGCGCGCGCAAGGAACGCGGAATAAAAATCTGATTTTGCCAACAAGCAAGTAAAACCAAGTAAAAATAGACTCGGACGTTGAGCGACTACATGGAGAACCACCGCGGTGGTTGGGACACCGTTGTTGTCGTGACTTGGACGCGGGGGATGGTTGTACGAGGAGAGTGGAATCCGCAATAAAAGATAACTGGATTCAAGTGCGGAGACTGCGTTGCACGCGCGCGACAGTAAAGGCTCTGTTTATTAAGCAGAGAGGTAACGGAATCTGGGCCAAGCCCACGGGAACATGTAGCGCATGGGCGGGCAACACGAAATATGGTAATTCGCCCGACGCGGGACGGAACGGGGCTGCGCTCTGCCTCACTTCGCAAATATACACGCGCCGTACGAGTGTCACTGAAATTGCACGCGCGTGAAGCTTACTCCGGCAGCGCGGTCGTACTTGCGGAAAAACAGTTCACGCCGATCAGTTACATTAAATTGCGTCACGTACACGGAATATTGCAAAAATATGTTGTACGCTTCATGTTGCGAATATTAAATGGTACATGGATATTATCATATATCACCGTTAAATAATCTAACAGTTATTTCAAAGATTATATAGTTACAATCGAAAATCTTAATAAAAATTTTCATGTTATTATAGATCTTGAATTGTAAAGTTCACTAATAGTACCGCATAAAATGTGTGCACACACGATGTAATGTTAAAGATAACTGTAATGTTTACAGATCTATCATTTATTACTGATTTTATGACCACTCGGATAGTGATTTTTACTACTTAATTAATTTTGGCATTTCTTATATGCATGGTGATTATAACAAATTGTTAAGAATAAGCAATACTAGTAGTCAATTTTATGTTACATGTAAATTGTATAATCTTTAATATTAACCAAAATTTGATTAGTTAATTACTTTACTAGAGAAAAATTATTAATTTAGTACACACGATGATTTTTCGATCTTTCACTACGCGATGGATACTTCATGTCTCGGGAATTTTCATCTTTTACAGTATATCTTTTTAAATATACAAAAATTATTCTGATTCTTATTCTTACATATACTTTCACATCCTCTTTAAAAAGTATTTATAAAGTTATGTATTTAAAAAAAGGAAAGGACAAGGACTATTATTTAACCAAGTGTTTCTAGTATTTTAAAGAAAAAAACAAGCAGCATACAAATATCCCAATTGTGTGTACTAAGGATTAAATTTATATTTGAGATAAAAGTTATCTTTATTTTGTATAATTAAGAAATTAATTTTTCATTACTCTTTAATTAACTTTTTTAACAAAGTGGAATAAAATAGCGTGATTTTTTTTAAATAAAAATTATTCACAATTTTATTCTCTAATTTATTAAGATCGCAAAATTTTCGTTGTATTAAAATTTTACTATTTTATAATTCAAAATGTAAAGAGAAATAATAATGATAAACATGTAATAAATACTATTCCAAAAATAAAGCTAAGTTCTCTTCAAGTAAATAGATCTAAAATGTTGTAACATTTCTTATTTATCGAATCTGATTACGATTACATATCTATTCTAATTTTTCAAACGTTTCACGTATTAAAAAGACAAGATCAAAAATGAAATTATATCTCGAATTTTGACACGAATTATGTATCATCTTAGATGAACTTCACACCGGTGAACCAAGCGAGCGCGAACAAACGCGAATAAATAGTTCGTTTTAAATAAGCGAACAATGCCATCGTACCGTTAAACATTTTGCTGTATTAGATACGTTAAATATTTTATTGAATTGGCGCGCGACGTTCGGCATTTGTTTTCATAACGTTCGGCGTTATTTACACAAAGTTGCCGTGTTGTCATTCGTACTACGAAACTCGAGTGGGCGGACAACGGACACGACTCCGTACGCCGTAACGTTATTATCCTTTGAGACAAACTCGAGACAGGTATAATGAAGAGATGTATCATTCCTGATGACTAGTTACTATCTCGTGCAATCAGTCAACTTTTCCTATTAACGAATTATATTAATAACTTTTTATCATTGGCGGATCTAGAAATTTATTAAGGAGAACCGCAAACGAAATTTTTTAAGGTCACATGTGAAAAGATAAAATATCAAATTATTATTTAAATTATTACATTGAAAAAACATTATCTACATGTATAATTCATAAAATATTTTACTTTAAATTATATTAACATAAAAAAAGAATGATATAGTAATATCTATGTTTTTTTTGTATCTAAGAGTTTTTTTATATCTAAGAGTTAAATTAAAAAATATTTTTGGAATATTAAAATTCTAATTAAGCATATCAGAAATATTGGAAAAATATATAACTTTGTTATTAATATTTTTGAAAGAAGAAACTTCAAAGACAGGACCACGGCCCTTATTAATTAACGTAATCCATTCGAAATGAATTAAAAAAGAATTAAAAGATATATTACAAATATATTTACATAAATGCATATTTATATACATGTTATCATCAAAAGTAATATTTAAATTGTATAAAAACTAGAATATGATTTTTAAGAAATAAGAAAAGACTAGAAAAAGAA